TGGTTTCCTGATAAGGAGTCGTTCTAAATTAAAATTCTCCCTTCCTTAGAGATCGATTCGAAACCCACGCACTGCTTGTTCCCAGAGCCGTCTCCCTAGAGGTTTTTCAGAATTCCCCAAATTCAAGCTGGTCACGTAGCGGCTTACAGTTTTTTTTCAGATGCCAGGGGTTGAAGGAACAAAACTGCCCCTACTCAGTACTTTTTTATGGCTAGCAGATGCCCGGTCTCAATTAGGGAACCCTGCAGGTCACATTTTGTGTGAGGCTTCAAATCAGTGACATACCTAACCAACTGGTAAGGTCGATGGCGATCGGCGAGATGCATCCTTGGCATTTGTAATCTGAAATGCGAGTGCTTCTTCATGTTCACATATGTGTGTGCTTGTGTGCTGAGAGTGAAAGTGGGCGAGGACTAAGCGAATCAATCGCGCTCTTCTCGCCTCACGCTCGCTCTCTTTTCATTCGTTCCACCGGTAATCACATAATAGAGCCGTCGCGTTTACATATGCTGTCCCCTACTTACTCGCCCAAAACCGCATACGAACGGGGCGTGCTTTGAAAGTGGATGACGCTTCTTGAACTTCTGGACAGAGGGAGCATCACCAAATGACGAATCTTTTCGGAGCAAAAAAAAAACAGCAGCAGCGGAATTAGTTTAGATTTGTTCATGTTTGGAGTAAGTGGTTCCCTTGCAAAAGTAACACTCGAGAATACTTACTTGTCAAGTAGAGACTGAAGAATGGTAACCAGCAGAAGAGAAAGGAACACGAGACGACACCAAGAGTCTTCGCGATGCGCTCATGCGTCCGTAAAACTCGACGCTGATGCTCCACCATGCCGCTGTTCTTCCCAAAGTGGACCCGAAGCGTGTCGGATGACTGGAAAATCGTTATTACTTCAAAAAATGTGGGCGACGTCCACGATGGCCCACAGCGGTGATCCATGCAGCCGATTGGACGTTTGACGCGGCGCGTTGGGAGCGCAGTCAGGGCAGCCTTGTTCCAACATTGATGTCATCCTGAGTCCGCTACAACTGGAGAAAAATCTGCTCTGCCTGCGCTCCAAGCAACGTCGATGTTCTGGGAACTATCGTTTTCGGGGATAACGACTGTACCTGTTGGCTGATAGTGTTTGAGAGGAAGTTCATGTTGTGTCCGAGAATCATAAGAAATCCCCTGTCCAGAGCTCGTTGTCGATTTCGGGCAAGTTTGTAGATACGCCAATAGAGGGTGAGAGTGACCGAGGCTGGCAGAAAAAAGGCGAACACCACACTGTGTGCCAGATAGCGAATTTCGTTCCCAGCAAAACAAATTGACTGAAATTGGATGGTTTCGCATGTTCACAGCGTTGACGAAATACAGTGATAATACTTATCAGTGATATGTATGAATAGAAATTGGAAGGGAGTATCTGGTCGATAGAGAAAAAGTGAAGTTGGTATCAGATAGTCACTCATGATCACTGGTCATGCGCTATCAGCAGTCGGCAGCGCGAAGACGGCTAGCTCGCACGTGTTGCAGCTGGAAATTCGCCCGCCAGGCTCGCGTCGCGAAATCGCGAGAATGCCCTCCTGACAAAAAAAGAGGCGTCGTTGACACTTCCCTACGTCTCTCGGGATTGAATGTGATTGTTCTATCGGTTTGAAGCTTCCCTAACTCAAATTCCTTCTCAGAAAGGTATGTCCCAGAAACCAAAGTTAGGTCCATAGTGTGCACAGAATGGGAACCGAATTCATCTATTCCATGATCTAGCGACTAATTCACTAACGTGCGAGAGAGCGCCGTTGCGCTCCGCTCAATTTTTTCAGAGTGAATGATTCCCATCAAAAGACAAATATATACTGGCTTTCGTGAATCCCGGTATTTACTAGTGTAGGGTGAATGATTCTTGATAGCTACAGTAGCGCGCCAATTTCTCTGGTGAAAAAAGTGTTCAGGGACGCGATTGGGAGGGGTGTGATACCTTGGGCGCCTCTTCACACTCCAGCCGCGCTTTCGCAGAGCCAACCGTACGCCTAACCATAGCCAACGCGCTGCTTATCTGCATCCTCTCAGTTCTCGTCTTCTCCACTTTTGACTTCGTGTTCACGGGCGTCTCAGGACCCTTGTCAACCGTGGAGCCTATATCCTCTTCCCTTTTTTCTTTCTCCTTTCCTCCCCCTCCCCTTCCTTCCCTCTTCTTCCTCCTTTTCCTTCTCCTTTCAACTGCTGGGTCAGTAGTTGAAATGAGAAAATACTACTGGACCTTCTCAATGAGAGCATGTTCGGTTAACAAGAGTCCTGGAAGCTCAAGTCAGAATCACTACACTACAGCCCCGTTCTCCGTGCACTCGAAGAAAGTGGTACACTACTGCATCTGCGCATTCATTCGCCTCACACATGGCAAGAACTGTCCTCGAAGAAGTATGTACAATTTGTTTTCAATGCTAGAACGCAAAGGAATGACTCTACGGCGAATTTAACCCGTCACATAGGAAGTTTATAGGCTGTCCGGAGGAATAATCATGAGAATTCTGAGAAATAGACATAAACGTCAAAATAATTGCTGAAGGAATATGTCAAAAAATGGAAAACACACATCATCATAGCACGGCGGTTGTTCCCATCGAACGGTAGTAAGCAGTATAGACGATGAAAATGTCCATATGATTATCATAACAAGTATAACTTTGGTCTTTGTCACCAAAGATTTGTAGCGAAGTGGTCGTGTCACGGCCAGATATCGATCTACCGAAATCACGCAGATGGTCACCTGAAAGTTCAAATGATTTGCTAAGTTTAGGAACAGTCGTATGACCTTAAGGTGTCTTGCCCAAGAGAATGATAGGATATTTCATGCATTTATCTGCACTGTAGCTGATTACACCACCTGAACAGATTAGTGCTGTAGTTGGGAACGGGCCTTGTTCTCCTCATGCTTTTGGAGATACCTTTTCATGCGAAGAGTCAATGCTAACAAAGACTTTTTTGTCGATTGGCCGCTCTGTGAGCTTGTGACCCGCGGGAGATAACCGAATAAACTCAGGCTTTCAAACGCGAGTGCTCAGTGCTCGAGAACTTCACCGATGAAAAGAGAAGACTTCATGTGAGCTGACGCAGCTGGGAGCCATGCACTTTTCGATGAGGAAATCGCTGTAACTGCAAGCTAGAATTGCTACTACAGTACCCGATATGGTTATAGTTGAAGGAGTCTCTATGCGAAGCACAAGCGAGAGCATAGAAGAATCATTATCACTTCCCAATTTGAGGGTTTTTAGAGCGCTTTAGAAAATTTCAAGGAGTCTCAATGTGTTTTCACAAGAATATCTAGGAGCTTAGTAAGCTACGAGCAGCATTTCGGATAGGGCTCTTATAAAGCATAGCCATCGATCTGGCGATTACGGATAGGGCTCTTATAAGGCATAGCCATCGACCTGGTACTTGAACGGGAGCAACAGAAACACTTCAAGTCGCCCAGGCTCATGAAGGGATTGAGGATCAAGTGGCAAAGTGCAGAAGCTCCGTGCCAGCTAGGAGGCTGCTGAT